AACACCTTTTATTTAACATATTTAGATCTTTTCACACTAAGATTATGAAGCCTAATTTGAGCCTGTTAATCTTTTTCCCAGTAATCCATAGAAAAGCACAGCTGCACTACTAAAAACATACTGTTTACCCATGATCTCTGGGTTTGGGCAGCCTGCAGCGTTCCAAAGATCAAAGTTTAAAGGAGACGTGCCAGTCCTTCACAATTCCTTTTATTTAATCTCATGAAACCACGTAAGCCACGCTTGCAGCTGATAAATACTTTTGCTGAGCTTCAGCCTGTGTGTGTTTGTGTGCAGCCCTCTGGTCCTGTAGCTTTAACAGAAAGGTACGTCCTGCAGGCTGATAACCATGAAATAAGGTAGGGCAAATGGAATTTAGTAGTTGTAATGATCAGTCATGTGGTTACTTAGTACTTAGTCTTTTTAAATTAATATAAACAATGTTAAGGATTTTCTGTCTTAAAAAAATAGAAAACAAACAAAAAAAACCCCAAAACTAATATTGTTTCAAGTGACAGTTTCACCCCACTTTCTTTTTTCATTGCCTATGTGGGAAAGCTAGCACATTTGTGTAAAGATAAACTGGGAAGTCGGTGGTTTCCAGCATGAATGTTTTGGTTAATATTTATAGAGACTAGTATTTAACGGGCCATATAAATATTTATCATATGCTGCAGCTCTTTGATCATAAACACTTGTTTGAAAAGGCGTTCTGTCCCTGCTGTGATTTGCAAAGAAAGAGAGACCACTGCTTTTTCAGTGTTAGGAGGGAGATTTGGCTTGTCCTACATTAGCAGTTTTAGTTGTGGACTATAACACAGTAAAGCTGGAGATGTCTTTTGAAATTTGTTATTTTTTTCTCTTCTTCTCTGTTTGCAAGCTCAAATAATAACTTGTATGCATGAGGCCCCAGTCTGCAGCAGACTGGCAAAGCTGGATTGAAGTTCTGGGGACCTTTTTTTCCTTGGCTGCAAGAGTTTGTCTGCTATGTCCTACATGTCACTACTCTGCTGCATTGCATCAAATAGTTTGTTGTGTTTTTAGGAATATTGTGCTCAAGGAGTTGACCCGTGACTGTTCACCTGCAGGACTTTGTCTTCAACTGTTTTTCTGGTTCTTTGTTTTTATTATATTGACTGCAGAAACTGTAGGCAAAGGTTCCAATAGATATGAAATGCAGCATGGAGTTTTACTGCGAAACAACATTTCATTTGCACATGGCAATAAATGTTGGTGTCCAGATTCCAAAACAGGAAGTTTGTGCTGGAGACAGAAGAGCTGGAAAGACCTTCTTCCAGCTCACAGGTCTGTTTCTTCATTTGTAATTTGGAGTCTCCTCCTGTGCAGAAGGAATATTCAGAATAAGAACGTTCATCTTCAAATTCTTAACAAAGTATTTTGGCTAAATATTTTCAGCCAGCCTTATTTCTGAGTTCTGAGGTCCTCAAGAAGCACCTCTAGGCAGACTCCCTTGTTGGTGACACTTATGAGCTGGAGATGATAGTGCTTCTTGTGGAATGTGAGTGGCATTCCAGAAAAGCCCTTGGCATCCACCAATGTTTTTGCAAGCAGATCAGATCCTTTTTTAGAGAAGCCATACTTTGAACAGCATTGGCTGCTTGCTGCACTTGAGAAAAGATTTACTTTAACTTTTAGCCTTTTTCTGTAAGATAGCAAAATATTTCTCTATAATGCTAGGTGATTTCTGCTGAGAGAAATGCAATTTTAAACAGGTCTGTTGTATTCACTGTTCAGGTCTGTCACATAATGGCTTCTTGCTCACGTCCATCAATTTACAGAAATAAAATAAGGGATATTTGTAAACTGATAGATGCTGCTTGAGCACACAAACTTGGCATCCTGCACGATCACTCACATGTGTGCATCCTGGTTGCTTAGTAAGGAAAAAAGAGTAAACATTACATGGGCTGATTAGGTTCCAGATCTCAAATGTTTGTGGGAAGAATTCAATGCAAAGCTATAATTATGAGTGCTGAGTAGGAGGTACTATGAGCTGAATTCTCTAACGTCTGTTAAATTTGTTCTCTAACCAGCAGAATACATTAATAAAATCACCCTGCCATACAGGGAGGGGAAGTAGTTGGGAGTAAAGCTGCGTGTGAGAAAGCAGGATACAAAGTGAAGTACTACTTTTGCTGTTTGTAAAAAGCAAGAAAGATTTGCCTATGTTTAAAAAAAAAATAAAATCAGCTTTGCAGCTTGTGGCTTACTCTCTTCTTATGAGTCAGCAGCCAAAGGCAGTGCCAAAGTAGGGGTAAACTGGGAAATGCATGAGATAGCAGCAGGGATAGTTTCCTGCAATTTCCTCCTTACTGTAAACCTAGCAGGTAGCTAGCAGCACCTGCAGCCAGGCTTTTCAGATTTGGGGAGGCTGAGTGCAGAATTAAAAACTGAACATATCTGTTGATAAGAATGTTTTAAAACTCCTGTTACAGCCGAGGGCTAGGAGGAAGATGCAGGGTGCTGTAAGTATCCCAGCTGACAGATACAGTATTAATCACTGATAGCAGGAGAATTCTCTTCTTTCTGTCGGAGGCATTAGCTTTTGTCAGCCTGACCAGGTCATAGAGCCAGGGCCAAGCAAATAAAGCGAGATTTCTTGCCAATATTCCTAGGTGTTAGCCTCATGGCACACCATTATTTTTAGCTGATTGCTCATCTCTTGGGCAGATGACCTTGCTTAGCAAGATTAGTGTGTACTGCACCTTATCTACCACACAGAATTGGGATGCTGAAGGAGGGTGGCTAGAGTTTCTATCAATCTGCAGTGTACCCTCTAGCTTTGATATATATCAAACATATATATATATATATATCAAATATATATATTTGATATAAAACATATATATATGTTTTCTAAAAAAAAAGTTTTTTTTTAAAGCTAATGATGCGTACAACTTGCCCTAGTAACCCTACCTTTGTGCATGCAGAATGCTGTGTGGTAGGTGCTTTGGACCTATCTAAAATGGAGTGCAATTGACTTGGCTGTATGATCAACTGTTATTGTCTGAAGATAGAAAGAAGTCTAAGAATTTTGGGTCCCAGTGCTTTTTCTATCATGCTTTGCATATAGTAAGCAAGTAAACTTAGTTATTGCCAAAAAATCATATATAGGCTTAATTTGAAATGTGAGCAACCTTATTACAGAATCACAGAATCACAGAATTGCCAGGGTTGGAAGGGACCTCAAGGATCATGAATCTCCAACCCCCCTGCCACACGCAGGGCCACCAACCATTCCACCTAATGCTAGACCAGGCTGCCCAGGGCCCCATCCAATCTGGCCTTGAACACTTCCAGGGACAGGGCATCCACTACCTCCGTGGGCAGCTGTTCCAGTACCTCACCACTCTCTCTGTAAAGAATTTCCCCCTGACGTCCAACCTAAATCTCCCTTCCCTCAGCTTAAAACCATTTCCCCTTGTCCTGCTGTATTGTTCTGCTAAGCAGAACTTTCAGAATCTTTTCCCCTTCTCCCATGTCCTTCCCCCCTAAACAACGAGTCTTTCACAAAGAGATGTCATCCAGGTCATTTGCTTGGGATAGGTGGGCTGATTTCAGGTACAGCTGTTTTGTTGCTCTGTAAGTGGCCAAATGATAATTGATATTTTCCTTTTCTCAAAGTACCAGCTGAGTTTTGCATGCTTCTGAGTTTTGGTAGGAGATTCATACAAGCACTGATGTGGTGCTTGTGTGACCTATCAAATACTTTGTATCAGCTCTTAATTAACATTTCCCAGATTGATTAAATGTTAATGTTAACTATTAATTAAGGGCAAGCTTAGAAATTAAGTACAGTGCATTTGTCACTATATAAAATGTCATTTATTTAAATGTGATACAGTGAAGTAAGCAACTTATTGTGAATAATTAAATCAATCAATTTAGGCTCACTTTGTTCTTTTAGGTTGCTAGTAAGCAGGCACACATTTCCTGGGATGTTCTCATAACTTAATGAAGTAATTTCAGCAAATTATTTTTCTAAGTCTTTAAATTCATGTGGATTCCTAGTGCATAGCCCTTAGAAACCTAAGCAGTCTATTTTTCAGTTGGTTTTTTTTCTTTTCCTTGCAAGGCTCAAAGTTGGGTAAGATGTTCCAGATTGTCACTTAGCTATTTTAATTCTCAGCATCACACCACTTGTTGGGGGGAGGAGGAAACCGTTTTCAGACTCTGCAGAATTCAGCCTGACTCACTGTCTCATCCAGCAGTGATTTGCCACTCCTTAGCTTGTTGGCTACATGGGAGGCATTGGCTCCTGCCTCCTCATCTTGCTTCAGTTCAGAGCTCAGTGGAGCCAGACACACAACCCTCTTCACTGCTTCAGGAGTCTAATTTGTTTGCATCCATGCATTGACATGGCTGAGGTGTTACTTCCTGTCTTTTTCACAAGTGAATCCAATTTACTGCTTGTTAGCAGCTTTCCCATCTGCCAGAATTCAGGAAAACCCAGGAGCATCTGGGTTGAACGTGTTAGGCATCAGCTCCCAATTACTGCTGAGTTTGCACCCATACCTTTTTCTTTGCTCTCTCCTTCCTTCTTTTTCCCTTTATACAGATTTGATAGTGTATGACTACTGCTCAGTTCCTTGTGTGTGTGTGTGTGTGAACTTTCTCAGAGCATGCATACTCGTATGTGCAAATTCACGTTTTGCTTTTCAGGAACTTCTGCGCCAAGCAACTTAGATGCAATTAGAATCAGAGAACCCTAGGAGTTGAAAGGGATCTCTGGAGATCATTCAGTCCAGCCCCCTTAGGTTCCCTACAGCCAGTTACAAACATTGGAGATAAAAATAGAACTTGTTTGAGACCTGAAAACTAAAATTAATTGAAAAATGCTATGTGAAGACTTGCTGCAAAGAAGTTATCAAACAAAGCACTTACACAGCATCTCTTTTCCTGTTCAGCGTAACTTTGTTTGTCATTTTACCTATTTTAAGCTCAATTTGTTTATTTGTTTGCTTTATTTTTCCTCACAGGCTTTATTGAAAATGCACAGTGAGAGGCAGACTTCAGTGAAATACTATGTTGGAATTGATGTTGGATCAGCAAGTGTTCGTGCTGCTTTGGTAGATGAGTTTGGGACAGTAGTGATGCACGCAGAACAACCAATACATATCTGGGAACCTCAACCAGACCACTATGAACAATCCTCTGCTGACATATGGGCTGCTTGTTGTGCAGTCACCAAGGTACCTGAAAGAAAAGAAATGAAGGAAATGAGTTTCAAGCGGCAGATTTTGAAAGTTGGAAGTCTTTCAGTCACTGGCCTTTAGCATTCAGTTCTGCTGTGTTTCTCTATAACATGGAATCACCTGCATACATTCAAGGCACCTTTAGGATATGTAGCTTCACAGTGCCTGTTAACCACGTGAGGAGCAGAAGGCCAGAGTGATATAATGGAAAAGAGGAGGAAAGCCTTTCCTTTTTGTGTTAGATCTAAAGGAGGACTTTTCCACTGCCTTTGGGATTCACATCAGGGATTTTTGTTCCACTGCTATATGTTTTAGCCACAGTTTCTTTGAGGAGTGGAGGTTGCTCAGAACCTGATAATGCATACCTTTAGAGGTGTGTGTGGTGTTGCACTGCAGCCAAAAAGGAGCAGTTATTATAGAAATTCAGTCTGTCGGTTGTGCCTCATATGTTATCTATCACCTGTATCCTCATTAAGACATCTGTCTGGTGTTATAAAACTGAAAGAAATTTTATGTATTTGTAGATAGTATCAAGCTTAAAAATAGGCTGAAATAAACCTTATTATAAGGAATCCAAAGGGATCCACCTGTATGTGTTGGTGGTAAAAGTAAATGACTGACCTTGCTTGGCAGTCTACATGCAGACTATTTCATCATCTGTAATAAAGCCACAGCCTGCTCCATGATCTAAGGTTATTTTTTAAATATTCATGATGGGCAGTTTGCTCTTTCTCTTGCTATTGGTCAGCCTTTTCAAACATCAGTGAGCTTGGCTCTGCAGAAACCTTCTGAGATGAAGGAGACAAGTGGTGAGGGGAGGGGAAGGAAAAGAGTAGTGTGACAAGAATGACAGGAAAGGCAGCTTGATATTACAGACAGCAAGTTATTTGGCTTTTGTGAATTGCTTTTTTTCTTGATCTTTAAATACAATCTTATATTTAAGCGATTAAAACATGGTCTCTGGAACTTTGGCTTTACAAAGCCAATAAGACACTGGCACTATTGCAAGTCTGAAGTCTTTCGTTATAGTACTAATTAAGATAATGATATTTTTATTGTTGCTGAGAAGTGGCAATTCATTACTGCGTTACATTTTAGATGCCTTGCAACTTTACATGGCACTTGATCCATGTGGGTATTATATATTTTTCTCCACTGCTGCTTGAAACCATGAAGTTCAGATCTTTTGGGGGATGATGAGTTTTTCAGATTATTTTCTGAAAGTAAGCTATTAAGTTTCTGGGAAAGTTTGCATTACAGATGTATTAGCATTGCTTTAGGTTTTGACCAACTCGACAACAATTTATTTTTGGGACCCTGCATTTTGTAACAAAAACTATGGCACAGTATTACCGGAGCAGTTCCATAAGATACTTCACTCGTTTGCCACCTGCAAACTGAATGAAGTGATGGAAATGCATAACCCTAATCCTGTCTGCAGGTTTCATATGCGGCAGAACTTTTAGAAAAGAAATAACAGTGCTAGAAAGATTCAAAGCCTATTAAAGAGCTTTTCAGGTACGTTTGAATACAGTTTGTCAAAATTTGGTTTTCAAGTTTGTTACATTTTTTTTGTTAGCATTCAGATTGAGATATTAAGGAATACTGAATCTCTAAATTTTTGTAATTTGAGTTTGTATTTCTAGCTTGTAACTTGTTTTCTGTGTTCATTAGTTCACATGGTAGACCATATATATGGATTTCTTTGTATTTGTGTATGTTTTATATATTTGCAGGAAGTTGTCTGTGGTGTTGATGCCAGCCAGATTCGAGGGATTGGATTTGATGCTACATGCTCCCTCGTTGTCGTTGACAAACAGTTCCAACCTTTGGCAGTCAACTCACAAGGTAGGAAAAAAGTGAGATGAATTGCTTTCTGTTTGGCATCCTAATGCCATACTCCTTCATACTGGATCAGAGGGCCTGCCTCTTAGAAGTCTCTACTCATTTTCAATTTTTAGGTGTTTCATCCTCATTCTGACTTTACTAATCATGGCTTTTCTTCTGTGTGTGAATACCTGCCCACACTGTCTAAAGGAATGCTAGAAATTAGTATTAGTGTAGCCTGACTGCTGCTTCTGTCATGAAGTTGCAAGCAGGAGGTTGAGCTTGTGTATTTTTATTACAGTGGTGTTCTGTCTTTTTCTAGGACAGTGCTAAACCTCTGGTACCTTTTTCTAAAAAGAAAATTAAGTTTTTATTAATTTTTAAGTTGATACTTCAGAAGCCTTTTTTTCCCCCTCACACAATCCCACTTATGACTGGGAGGCTGCTAATTCAGTAGTTACATAGCCATAATCAGTTTTGTTGTTTTACCCTTTCTGTTCTCATATCTGTCATCTCTGATCCTTCTTAAAAAAAAAAAAAAAAAAAAAAAGCAGCTTTGTCCCCAAAATGTCCTTTGCTAAATTTAGGAAAGATTATTTATTTTTCAGTTTGAGAGTCTTTGATCTGTTCAGTATCTGATGATGTCTGGGGCTATTTTGGTCTACTGAGTCAAATTCAGTTCTCATTTTTTTGCTGTCAGATATCCTTAAGAACTTGGGCTTTAAACAATGATATCAAATGTAAGACAAGAACAGACAGAATATTGTCACACTGGGCATGCACTAAGCTCATTTCAGGCAGCTTTGGAGGTCTAAATTGTTTGAATCCATCTTTAGTATAGTGTTGTTCCTCATAGACCTGACTTGTTTTGGAGTATGTTTTCAAGATTGAAATGCATGAGTGGCTCTTCTGTGGAGTTGACTGTGCAGTGTGCTCGGCAAGAGAGTAATGTGAAGTGTCACTTGGGTTATTCCTTCTCTTGTTTAGTAGGTCTTTTGTAGGTTAATTTAATTAAAATGTCTTTTGCTTTTTGTTCTGATGTGTTACACAGACTTGCTGAATTCTTTTGCCTTCCACATCCAAAATAAACATACTTTCATGGCAGCAGTTGACTAAACTGTTTTTGAAGTAATTTAGAGTAGTTTTCTCTTAACTATAGAATAGGAAAAAGAATCCCTATTACTCTTTAATTAACTGGCCAAGTTCATTTCAATTTATAACTTATTTGCTCAGATTTTGTCATATTTTGGTGACTAGAAATTAAAGATGTTTTTTTTTGTGTGTTTTAAAATAAATGTGTACCATGTCCAGTAGTTCGGGTTATTTGAATGAAACATACTTTACAAGAGCAGAGCTTGTCACAGCTGTTGGACTCTCACAAGCCTGACTAGTTTCAGTCTCAGAGCATTCTCAGCCCTCAGCATGCCTTAAAAGTTGGCTAGAATTTTATCTCTAGCTATCTACTGTGAATTATTAGCACACTTAAGTGCTTGAGTTTTCCATGTAGAAGTGTAAGTGTGAAGCAGCTTATAGCCTAGTAACATAAGAGTATTGTGGTGGAGTTATACAGGACCTAAAACAATCTTTGCTTTATTTTCTTGTCTTTTAAAGGGCAAAACAATAGGAATGTTATTATGTGGATGGACCATCGTGCAGTCAGTCAAGTAGACCGCATCAATGCAACGCAACACAGGATTTTGAGCTATGTTGGTGGAGTGATGTCTGTGGAAATGCAGCCTCCTAAGTTGTTGTGGATAAAGGAAGTGAGTGCCTTTAAGATTGCATAGCATTTCTAGTAATGATTAATATCATTTTATTTGTAAATGCCTGAGAGTGGTATTTCAGAAACAAACTTCTTTGACCTTAGTGCTGAGCTCAGAGATGTGCAAAGTAAGGTCAGCCTTAAGATGTGATGAAGATGTTTTGAGATGTTTTTTACCTCTTGATTATTTAGAGATTAATTTTAGTGAGGTTCAGTTTTTCTCAAATGAAAACTTCTGATATGTTTTTCTTATGTAATTTTAAGACCAGTAGCTTTGGTGAAGGTGATGAATGTGTCCTGGAAGTATCCTATCATTTAGTTCACATGCTTAAAATATTGTAGCTGAACATGCTTGAAAAGGGCTTAGGTTCTACTTCTGGGTTGCTTTTTGTATTGTGTGAAAGCAGCAGTGTCTCAGCGCTCGGCATACTTGCTGGATGTACTGCTGCCTTTGAGACATTACATCTAACAGTGAGGGAATGTGTGATGCCTTTGGGTGCTCACAGAGCAATCTAGTTTGAGCTTCGTCAGCTTTCCAAGAAGGAGCTGAGCAATTTAGTTGCATGTCATATCTAGGAAGTAGATCATCTGTACAAGGAAGATGCTCAGTTCAAAATGTGGAACTCTGCTTGCTTCTTGTGTTTTTAACAATAACTGTCAGAGAAAAGGAAAAATGCTCACCACCTGAACTTTTCAAAACCTCCTCTAGTCTGGTTTATTTTTTTTGGTGTTGATGCTTGGCCAAATGTAGATTACTTTCTGCCGGTTTCAGTGCAGTGCCTTGGATTGGAAGGGACCTCAAAGATCATTGAGCACCAACTCCATGCTGCAGGCAGGGTTGCCACCCACTAGATCAGTCACTAGAGTTGGTTGCCCATGGGCCCCATTCAGCCTGGCCTTGAACACCTCCAGGGATGGAGCACCTGCAACTTCACTCCAGCACCTCAACAACCTCTCAGTGAAAAATTTCCTCCTGACACCTACCCTAAATCTTCCCTATTGTTACCTGAGCTTATGTTTCTGGAAAGAAATTTCTATTATTTGAATTTTCATCTAAACAATTTTATGTATTCCTAAAGAATATCACTTATCAAATTTACTGTGCACTTCTGGAAGTAATGAAGAGAAAGGAGAATGGGGAGGTGACCTAACTGTGCTTTCCACTTCTGTCATCTTTTCTTACTAGAATTTACACTGAAGATGACCTCACCGTGATGAGTGAGCTGAATTAATTATAAAAGAAGTAGATACTGGTCTTTATTTCTTGTAATTTTCCTGTTATAAGTGACTTGTATTTATTTGTGAAGGGATGTTGCAGTTATTCATCCAAATTGTTAAGTTATTCTCCTCAGCTGCTTCTTAATTTTCTTTTCCATGTAGTATTTTATCTGTGTGTTTCTTTTAATTGCTTTGCATTTTCACTGTACAGAGATTAGAAACAACTAGAAAGTAGAGGCTTCAGAGCATATTCTTTGCACTTAATTATTTTACTCTATCACATTTTGATTTCAAATTAAGAAACCAAACTGCGGAGAACCTAATAGGTTTCCTTGCAATCTTTTGTTTGAATTGTATTAGCTTACATTCAATTTAGTTTGAGCTCTAATGAATCACTTTATGCCCTGGCATCTAGTGGCTGATCTACATGAAATTAATTGGAGGGTCCTGATGTCTGTGACTGAAGATAGGTGCTCATATGGCAAAGTCAGCACTGCCTGTGAAGTCTGTGTAGGTCATTTTGCAGTGAATGATCAACTGAATGCAGCTGCTGGTTAAGCTTCTGGGGCTTTCTTGTTAACATTTGTGGCTCACTTAGGAGCAGCACTATTTCTTTGCCCCTTGTATGCTGAGAGGGTCCATTTAAATGTTAAATCTGCAGTATATGTAAACCAAAATGAATACTTTATTTTTCTTTTAGATCTACTTCGTGTAGGTAAAGTCACACTTGAATTTGGAATGTTGTCAGCTGAATTAAGAGTGTGGAATGTTGTAGATAAAGTTGGAAAAAAAAATATCATTATCCTTTCACAAATATTTAGAAACCAGCTGAAAGATAATGCTGACAAAGTCTTCCTGAACTCCATATGATAAGTAAAAATGTAAACTTCAGTGAAAAAGAAAGTAGCCCTTAGTTACTGGATCTTTCAGAATAACCAGATAATTCTCTTAGCTTGCTATAATTTACTTAGATTTCTATTGTTTTTAGAATTATCTTGCAAGGTCTGGGGTTATTGTTGATTCTGCTCTAGAATTAATGTTTGAGTATTTTTTCCCCCAAAGGTAGCAGAGAAACAATCTTGTTTACTAATTTTTGGCTGGAGATTTGACTGTGGCTTGTGCCAAAACAGGAGGATGCTTGTTACATTTTTGTCATATTAATGGCATTACAAAGCAGCTATTTCTGAAAAACATTCATCCCATATGCTGTAGCACATTCCAGATGGGTGGGGCATGCTGAACTGGGAATAGGTATTTGTTTGGTAACTGTCTCCAAATGGAATGCAGTTTTCCTGTAGTGTATTTTCACACCTCATATTTAAGTATGGTAAGAGCCAAGAAGATCCTTCCTACAGGAAAAAAAAAAAAAAAAAATCAGAGTGAATGACTAGCAGAAGTTCCTTACAATTAATAACTGAAATTGATAATTCTCAGTTTATTTTCTTCATATTTTTTATGGCACGTTGCTCAGTGATCTTTCTATTCACGTCTTCAGTTACAGCCACGTTTTTTATGCATCATCCTTCTTTTTTATGCATCATCCTTCTTTTTTATGCATCATCCTTCTTTGAGTTTGTTTTTGTACACCCATGACTTGCAGCTTTATCAGCCAATGGGATAATTTGCAGAAACAATTTGAACATGTATTTTCCTGGCTATGGAGGGGCATTAGCTTAGCAGCAACATATTTGTTCATACATGTCCTCTTCTTTATTGCATTTGCATCTGATTTTGTTTTGTTGAATGCAACTGGTAAGATTTTACCAATAAAAAGCTCTCAACTCCATGTTTAGTGAAAAGAATCCAAGCTACTGGGTTTGAAACTGAACTCTTGATAAGGACTGTTTATAAATGCTTTAACAGCTTTTTGCTATCAAAATCCATATGTAATTTAGACATGTTTGCATAGATTGTACTTTGTACTGTTGGGCTTTTAGTAGCAGTTGCTAATCAAGCAAAATGGCTTTAAAAAAAGAGGATTGATTAACAGCTGGAATGTTTGAAACACCTGCACCTCTGAGAATCTCTCAACTCTGCTACAATGTGATGATGTTTATGAACATTCCCACAGATTGTCCTTCATCCCTTTTTACAGCTCCAGCTTACTCAGCCTTTGATAGTGCTGGTCTGTGTTTCTGTCATGCATGTGGCAATGTCTCACCTGGACTACATTTGCCTGACTTTTGGTGCTACCCCGAGGCTGCCTCATAGATTTGGAAACACCTGCAGATGTCTAAGACAGTGTCTTGACTGTGGAGGCAGTGCGATGCACCAAAGCAGAGTTTTCCACCTTTGACATTAGCCTTATCCTTACAGCTTACTTTGTAAGGTGGCCTCTTAGCCCCAAGAACATGTTTAAGGCCCTAAGATGAATCTGGTGATTCAGTTGGTGGGTTGAGCTTTGTGGTGGTGGGGGGGGAGTTGTTTATTTCTGTTTATTTTGTTTTTTTTACCAGTTTTTTGAGTGCAACTTACAGTTGCAAAACCGATCAGTCTGCAGCCCTGGCTCCAGCAGTGATTTTAATGGTGCCTACAGTTTATCTTGGGTGTCTGAGAAGGGCTCTATCACATGATTTGGCATTAGTTCTGAAGTGTGGGAGATGTAAATTCTAAGTTCTTGCTTTGTCTGAGTTGGAATAGGGTGTGAGACATCGGTTTCTTATGTCCTCATGAGTGTGTGTATTGTCTTCAGTTCATGCAGATTGCCTAGGAGATTGGGATTCAAAATTCAGGTTGAATTGGGAAAAGCAGACTATTATTCAGTGAGTGTCTCATTTTCATATGACTTAGATCTTGACCTGATATGGAACTTGAATGCTCATGCCAACTTTTTTTTTTTTTTACTCTAAATGGTAAAACATCCTTCTGATTCCATCTGTCCCTGCTGGTTTTAATCTAGGTTTCTCACACACCAATTTGGGATGGTTTCAGAATGCGTGGGTTTTGACTGATAAGTAGCCATGAAATACAGGCCTATGCCCTGTGCTAAATCATAAGTTTTACTTCAAGCCCATCTTAAATTAATCCAGTGGCCAACAGAATTTGGATGTAAAAGCTGTCTGTAATGACATTTAATATTTTTCCAATTCACATTTTGTCTGTGTTAACAATTACGAAAGTCGGGGAAGTTTTGGTGTTTGTATACATATTTTAGTTCTGGTGTGGTGTGAGGAAAATGTTCTCCCTATTATTAGGTGTCTGATGATCGCTTAATTTTACAGGAAAATAATATACCTAGTAAAAGCAGAAGTTTCCAATACACTACTTCAACAAATAGACTACCTCAATAAAGCACTAAAGTACAAATCTGAAAGTTCCTTTCTTGTTCTCAAGGAGAACATTCTTCTATGAGTTTCTGAAAAATCCTGTTGCATAGAAAAGCTCATGTGAAGTTCTACATGCATGTGCATTTTAGCCCAACTCATAGGTGAGCAGCATGCATAACATAAAGTTATGCTGCACAATTTTGTTTCATGATAATCTTTTGACTTGGCAGAAATGGCCTCCTCTACCCATTCCTTGACCTCTATACCAGTTCTCCCCACCTCTCACTTTTATCCTTCTTGTCTAGGAAGATTGAAAGATTCTGTGCTTTGTAATTCTTAAACTCATTAAACACAGTTACTTTAAAATCTCCAGATAATTCTGAATAACTGTTGAGAAGTGTTGTGCTTTCTGGGCAACCAAAGAGGTTGTGGAGTTGCTTTCTATGGAGATACTCAAGACCCAGCTGGATGCCTACCTGGGTGACCTATTGTAGGGTTCCTGCTCTAGCAGGAGGTTGGACTCAATCTCTGGAGGTCCCTTCCAACCCCTGCAATTCTGTGATTGTTTTCTTTTTAAAAGAAAGAAGCATCTATAGGTACCCCTCAGTTGAAAGGTTGAATGTGTATCTTTAGAAGTGAGTTTAATGGCTGAGATGCAGGATATGAATACAGTACTGGGAATGTTCCCAGATCTTTTCCATCGTGCTTTTCATGTGGTCACAGATCTGACTATGAGTAAAAATAAATTAAGTTGACTTAAGTGAGTGTCAAAAACATGGAGACTTTTTTAAACTTGTTGGAAAAAGCATCAGGATATGCTATGTTTTTTTGTCTTTACTAATTAGTGATGACAAAGCATTGAAATGGCAAAGAATGAATCATTTGGATGTTCATGAAACAAAATACCTTAATGTCACTAACATGTGGCTTTTGGGAATTCCCCAAGTAATAGAATAAGGACCCTGTGAGTATCTCTGATAAAGCTGATTTGCTTGAAGGCCACAGTTGTTCTTAATCTAATATCTTTTGTGATTAACACTAATAGTCGATCTACTTCTGTTGCTTCTTAAAGACCAATGCAGAATGGTTTGTTTGACCAAAATAGGATGAATGACCTATGTACTAAGCTAAGGAGCACCTTTGCATTTCACATACAAAGTTAAATTTGAAGTAGTAGCTATCTACATCTAGTGTGTAAGCTACACTCAAGTTTGGAACAGGCATGCAAAGCTTGTACATTGTGTTTGAAAGTTGCAGTTGCATCAGTCTTTTTTTTTAATACAGTAAGCTATTGAGACTCTAGGTGTTTAATACTTTTCTAAAAATCCTTTGCATCTGCAGTCTTGTATAAGAGCCTTTGCCTGAGCTTATGAAGAGTAGATGAAAATGGTAGGATATGAAATCCAAATACACAATATGGCAAGCAAATCGTCCCTTAGATTTCTTCTATAGAGATGAAGCCCAAAATAATTTCCCATCTTACTTCTGGAGTACCTCTCCAACTCTGTCATAGCCTGCTAGATGCAACTGTTGACCAAATGTGTATTTTTGCTGAAACTGTGTCACCTAACAGGTCTCCATGCCACAGAGACCCCAGCTACTCTTAGAACCACTGTTTCAGTTATTTAGAAAACTGTTGGAGATTTTAAAAGCAATTTAGGAGAGTGAAGCTTCACAGAAAGCTTACAGATTCTTACTTGCTTTGGTCAACTGGCCTAATAGATTGTAAAGCTTTGTTCTCTGCTCACAGAGGTATTTGTTTTTTTCCTGCACTTAAATTTTAGAAATAATAAATATAAAATGGTTTGTTTAAGAAAGTAAGGCATGCTTCGAGCAAATGTTTTTAAAGTGAGTCTACTGATTTTTGTGCCTGCCTGCTCTGACACTGAGCGGCTAACAGGGAACTGAAAGATCCCACGTTATTGATCTGAACCATGTGCCTCCATTAACTTTCTTGGGAAGCCCTTGTGATCAATTCGTGGTAGGAAAAGGACTCAGTTCTTCAGACAGTAAATCACTACAAAGTGAGCAGTGCAGGAATATGGAGAGAGATCAGAATATTGAATTTGGAAAAACTACAATTTTCCCACAAGTTTTCTTAATTTCCATTAAAAAAGGATGTGATCATGTCTGGCCTCTAATATCTGTATTTCTCTATTTTTTTCTTAGAACTTACAAGAGTCATGCTGGGAGAAGGCAGGCTACTTCTTTGATCTTCCGGATTTCTTATCTTGGAAAGCCACAGGTGTCACTGCAAGGTATGTTAATTGTAACAGGATGATTTAGTCATCTTAGTCTATTTTCTTATGTGTGTTTCTGCTTTAATTCATTTTGACTGGACATGCTGTTACATAAATCTGTCTGTAATTCAGTCTGCTCCAAAACATCTTGAACCTATCTCCTGCTTCCATTGTACATTCCTGAACACAGTTCCTGTGAGCAGTGTAATTCACAGATACAGTATGTTGCTACAACTATTAGTCAATTGGTCTTATATTCTATTTTGGAACATAAATATGGTTGCTCTTGTTACTGTGAAATAAGCTTCTAATATTGCTTTGAAATCTATTTTTGACAAATTTATTGACTTTCTGAGAACTGAAACAAAATGCTTCTTTTTGGGTATGGAAGACATCTTATAAAATCTATCTAAAAGTGGTTGCTTCATTGTAAAACACATACTGTGTCACTCACCAAAAGCATCTTACAATGCTTGCTGATAAATTAAACAGTGATGTTTGAGAGCACTCCATTAAAATCTTGATTAAAGTGACATTAGTACAAGGGAAATACACATGCAGATGAACAAATCCTCCATCTGAGAAGTGATACAGTGTCAAGTTAAAAAAAAAAAAAGTCTTATGGCCCAATTCCACACTCAGCTCAGCAGAGTTCACAGGTACTTCCATTGGAGTCTCTGGAGTTGTATCTGCAAAAATTAGTCTAAAATGAAAGCTGAAAGGAGTTAGTTTTAGTGTTGGGGGAATGGAAAATGCATTCATATCTGATATATTTATTTTGTTTAAGCGTTCTTTCTCCCTGATTAGTCTCCTTAATAGTCAGCTATTGTTAAATACATATCTTGCATTATATAAAGATGCTGTTTGACTTTACCAGGAAAGAATAAAAAAGTGAAGAGAATGGAAGCTAGTAAATTCTTACACAACAAATTGAAAGATGGTATTGCAAATATAGTCAGATTCTACTGTATCCTGTACAGCTATCAACTGCATAGCAAAAGAACTCTCACCTAAAAGATCATGCAGTGTAAGCTGACCTGTCACCTAACCCAACTCAAATTTCAGGAGGATAAATCCTAGGCTCCCAGAGGCCGTGCCCTATGGGATCTCTCTATTGTAGAAATACTCAAGACTTCAGCTTAGAACTGGCACCCTTGGCTCAGGGGTGAAGTGGAGAAAGGTAACGGCCCTTTTTTCCACAAATAATTTGAGTGCTTCATAGAATAGCCTGAGTTGAAAAGGACCACAATGATGAATATCATACATATCAAGTGCTATTTAAATTTAGGTACAGTTATGTGGGAGAAACCTGGCTTTCTATCCTAAGAGAGCCTTTTTGAGGCAGTTGAAAAGATATAATGACCTGGGAAACAGATATGCCTAAATGTCACATGTATGTGGTTACAAATTCTTTACATTTGTTTTCTGATAAGTTTAATAGGACATAGGAAACAGTTTTATTTGTCCTTATATGTAGGAACATCTCTATATTACACATGGCGAGATGATGATAGAAAGTTTGTACTAAGCGCAGTTGAATTTGGCTTTGTGATCCTAGGCTGGCTAATAGCTGGTGTGAAATGTGTGGCAAATAATGAAAGGATCACCTTGTGCTGCTGGCTGAAGAAGCTAAAATAGAATATGATCCAAGTGAGGTTGGAGTCGAATATTATTTGGAATGTGCTTTTAAAGAAAGGGAGGTAGTTCCAGAGAGAGTAGTAATTAATATACATGGAACAGAATTCTTATCTTGTTTGAGCAAAGGAATCTGTAGCATTGATGAAGAGGGTTCCTGCTCTTCCCCTCTGTCCCATAGCGTGTTCTGTCCCTCTTGTTTTTAATAGAGGCAGCTGTACTGTATTAAAGAAATCCCTTTCTCCAGCTTGTTTCCTAACTTCCAACATAGTTTAGTCTGTGTGAGGTGATGGAGAGCACCTTCCTGCAGACTTTAAAATATAACTGTTATTATTACCAATTTAGCAGTTGGAAAAAGATCATACTATTTTTGGATGAAGTACTTCCTTGTGTCATCCTTTGCTGCCTTAATGTGCACTTCCCCCAAATTAAACTGATCATTTCAGCTCTACTGGAATGTCTTAGGTGATAATAAAAGAGAAAGAAATAAGAAAATAAGGACAAGAATTTTTTTTCTTAGAATCAAACCTTAATTTTTTGCCCCATCCTCTACTTTCCCCCTGTGCACACTTCTTTCTTAAGATTTGCCATGTAGTTTGAAGTGAAGTATTTCATCCTGCATATCATCTTTCATAATACTGTGGAAGTGGAACTTTATCATGTGTAAGATTTTTACCACCTTTTCCCTTGAGCACAAAGGAGCCCATTCACAGGGCAAGGCACAGTGTTAAGTCATTGTGAATCACACATTATTTGACCCTGGTAAAAGACAGATTTTATCTTTATTTTTTAAAATCTGTTTTGGTGGTGGTAAAATCAAGTAATTCCAGGGACATTTCTATAAGAAGGGTTTTTGCATGCGTTGAAGTTCTTATTCTTGCTTCCTTACATTTTTAAGTGGCTCCTTAAATACACACAAAATGTTTTAACATTTAAAAACATTGTGTGGTCTTTTTGGCTTCAGAGAGATTACTCAGTGCACAGAGTTAAGCAGCATGTGATCGGGATTTGAAGTATTTGAAAGCAGCTATTGGTTCATGTTTCTGAGTATGAAATCATTTGTCTTTCACCTTCAAACAATTCTGCTGGCCTGAAGTGCCTTGTTGCCAAGGGAAGTTTTTTCCAGTGGATACATAATTAGCAAAAAGTTCAGGTAAGAATACCTGAGGGGTGAGGACTTAAACATACTCTGAGATTTCTACCTACTCCCTTTAGAAGTGCTGTCTGTGTATCCCAGTGAATAGCATCTGCCTATGAACTTCAAAGAATGAGTTTCAAATCATTGATTCCCATTGTTATTAAAAGATTGTTGCCTGTAATATTCCCTATTAAAAAAGTTCAATTCTTATTATTTCTCATTTGGGTTAATGTAAGACCATGCAACTGTTTTGAATGATCCAGAAGCTGACTCTTCTGCATTAAAAAGCTTTACTGACAGCTCCTTGGTTAAAAGCTTAAACATGCTCCTTGCTTAAAAGCCCCCAAGGTTACAAGGAACATTGGTTTGGCCCCTAAAATACTCAGGTCTTATTGCAGAAGTGCTGTTATGGGGAGAAAGCTGTTTTTTTTCAGACACACTAGCAGTGCTTTTATAGGCTCAGCTCTTCTCCTCATGGTGAGTGTGACTCACTGCTATCTTCCACCCACCATCTACAACCTCTGATCATTTTTTCTTTATATGGTGTTTTTGAAGTTATCTTAAAATCAAAATAAATATCTGACTGACTTAGAGATAACTGTATTATGGATAGAGTATTTTTATCAGAGTTGCACTACTGCAATTCTGTCTTCCTTCTGATATCTCATGAAGGATTAGATTGCAGACAGGAATGTGAACCTATGGAGAAGGACTTGGAAATGCAATGAAGAATGACAGTAACTGAGGTGGAGATTATCCAGCATTGTGCTATAAGAAGCCACTGGTTGAGGATGAATAAATCGGTATCTTTTAAAGAAAATGCTGGCAAATCATTCATAAAGATTCAAGAAGTGCCAGAATGAGTGAAGAAACAGAGACTTAGGACTCTTTTAAAGTAGCTCCCAAAATTGCAGAAAAAAGTTGGAACAGAGTTTTCATACAAAAGCTATTTTTTTGTGTGTTCTCACACTGCAAATGTATTAATAGCTGGGGAAAGTATTTTTTTTATCTAGTAGAGATGTCATCTCATATATGAGTGGTGACCCAAGTAATTTTTCTGTGGAAATACTTGTCTAGTCAACCTTAAACTGCTAGCCTTCATGTCAGGGAAAATGATATGACATGTTTTGTTGGGGAGTCTTTTGTGAACTATCTACATCCAACACAGATCTCAGGATCATGAGTTTGTTCAGAGAAAGTCAATTTTGTAAGAAAGATGTTCATACTGTTATGGTAATTACAAGCTGTAAACTGAAAAACAAATAGATGTGGTTCTTAAAGATTTCTAGGGACCATGTAGCTAACTAGTATTATGCCATGAATGCTTGTGAGAGAGGGGTATATATTTTTTTAATATCCAGTATATTTGAATCTGGGAATTCAGATTTAAGTCTTTTATTTCCCCTCTGTGATTTGGATAAGTAAATTAAATCTACATTTATGGAGGTATTCAGGCTGCTGAACACCTTTTGAGGATTTGATTCTTTTTCATTCTTGTGCTTGTTCTTCATCTGTTAAGCTGACACACAGATAGTGTTGCTAGGTTGATGCTCCATCCCTGGAGGTGCCCGAGGCCAGGCCTTTGAGCAGCCTGCTGATCTGCTGAGTGGCAATCAGCTCACTGCAGGGTTTGGAGCTGGATGGCCTTTAAGGTCTCTTCCAACCTAACCCATTTTATGACTCTGTGAGGTTACTTTCTTTTCCCTTTGTGAGGCACTGTGTCTCTATGATTAGTAGAGTCCTTATCAGACTTTTTCTCCAGATAGGCTAGAGACTTTGAAAGTGGAAAAGCCTGGAAGAGAATGGGATGTTTAGAGGTGCTGTAGAAGAAACAGACTGATGTAAGTTGGATGATTATCTGAAGGATGTCTGTGCCTTTTAAAGGGATTGAGCAATAAGTAAGAAAGATGTGGTAACTGGAGCAGCACACACACCAGATTCTGCCCTTCCCTTCCTTCCTAGCTGTGCCATGACTAATGTATACCTTTTGGCTGGGATTCTGGTGTTTGGCTTCTTATTTATTTTTTGTGCCTACTTAGAAGACGCCTGTTCTAAAAATTAGACCCCTCTTTGTGAAAAAAGGGGCTTGGGAATATTCCAAAGGTTTTGCTGATAAGCACTGCAACCCATGTGGCAGTGACAGTATCCTGATCTGCACTCGAGTTTTACATCCTGTTTATGAAATGAAACCCAAGGTTTCAGACGTGGAGACTTGTTTTGAGAAGTCTCTGGAGAAGGGGGGATT